CGGAGAAGAAGGAGCGCGGTTCAATGAGACCGCTCTCTTGGAGGAAGTGGGCATCCGACACTTCGTACCCACTCCCCAACAGCGGCGCCCTACGATTTCTTCCATGAGTCCCGTGTATCGTTTCATCTTCTATGTGTTGACACGGATCCTCAAGCCCAGGAAGTTCAACCACACCACTCTCTCCCAAGAAGACACGAAGACGATCCATGCGATGATTCACAACGCCAATATCGATTGGTGTAAATTTGTGATGATCCACATGTTCAACGCCACCTCCGACAACCGGCCGCTCCCTTACGCCCTCCTTTTCATGGCGATTCTTGAAGAATATAACATCAAAACCGATGTTGGGCCAAAGATAAAGGGGACAAAGCATTGGGAGATTGATGAATCCTCTTTCCACTCGGGCACCGACGAGACTCCGTTTCGACAGCCTCGTCCACGCCGACAACCGAGAGCCACTGCCTCAGCCGCCACCACGTCGACCAATCCTTCTCTCGCCGAGCAAATGGCAGCCTTAACCGCCACTCTCTCTCGGATTGACACCAACGTCTCCAAAACGGCACACAACGTCAATACCTTGAGCCGTGAACTTCACGGGTGTTTTGACTTTGTCAATTACCCGTACGCTCAAATGGTCCCTTACGTTCCTCCACCGAATTTCGGAGGTGAACAAAGTGGGACTCAAAACGTTGGTAGAGATGATGAGGTGGACGATGAAGAAGAAGAAGAAGAAGATGATGATGATGATGATGATGATGGCGATGGTGATGAAGATGAAGAAGAAGAAGAAGACATTGACGAAGAACAACTTCTCAATGATCTTTCCCCGGATTTCTAGAGCTCTAACTCTACTTTCTTCTCTTCCTTATTTTATCATCTTTTAATATGCTTTCGTTATGTACTCCGCTATTTCCCTTAATTAATTAATAAAAATCTTTATGATTTTTGTTGTTAACAATCTTTTTGTTAATGTCAAAAGGGGGAAGATAAAGGTCATGCATATATTAAGGGGGAATTTTATTAAGGGGGAATTTTTTTTGAAAAAAAAATAAAAAAAAATCAAAACCCTATGCATATCCCCGTCTTGTTTGCCATTATCAAAAAGGGGGAAATTGTTGGAACACACTTTGTACGTTAAACTAAAGTCGTGTTCATTTCTGACAGGTTTTGATAATTGCCAAACCGCCGTGGATATGAAGAGTTTCGTTGAATAACTCAAGGCGTGAAGAATGGCATGGAACATGATCAAAAAGACTCAAAGACAAGATCAAGAATTGAAGACTTAGTCGAGTCGGTCTTTTGTGATCAAAACCGATAATCAATTCAAGTCTCGGTTCTCAAAGAGTCAAAATTATTTTACAATATCATAAAATGTTTTTATGCATCAAAATAAACATTTTAGATAAATTTTTTTGGTCCTTGCTCAGAACCAAAATCACCTAAGTCGGCGTACCGTGTTCGGCACTCGGTGTTCGGCGTTCGGTTTTTGGCGCCCGAACCAACTCGGTGGTTTTCAATGTTTTAAACCTCGCTTTTATCTCTGAGCATATTTTAAATGTTTCCAAATAATTATTTTATAAAAACCACTTTTGTATCTTGGTCAATCGGTCTAACACGTGAAAAACGGTCAAAACCGTACGCACATGATTTACGACCTTGAGGACTTGGTTTTTACCAAACAAGTCTTGTTTTCACTATTTTATACCATATACAATATTTTTCAAACTTGGTTTTTACTTTTTGGAACACTTCGTTTTTGGACCTCGGTTTTTCAAAACGGGTTTCAGCTTGCTAGACTTTAGCTGGGTGATAATCGATTATCACCTTAGTGACAATCGACTATCAGCCACTGCAGCTTTGAACTTCCAAAGTTCTGAAGCACGCAACAATCGATTATCATCTTTGCTATAATCGATTATCCGCCTTTGCAGCCAAAACCCAGAATCTTCTGAGAGGACCAATAATCGATTATCACTTGTTGACAATCGATTATCTGGGTTACCGTTGTCCTCCAACGGATAGAATTTTAAATTTTTGGACAGGGAATCTTTGGATAATCGATTATCATGCTTAGACAATCGACTATCAGCCCGTGTTCCTGAAAAATTTGTCTTCATCCTGTTGGAAATTCTAACAACGGATTTATCCCATTTTGGGCTATAAAATGGCACCCAAATCCTCTCTTTTAAAATACAATTCTTCAACATTTCAATACTCTTTCATTGCATAAGCATTCCCATTTTTCTTAGCTATTTGAGAGCCAATTCTTGAAGAAATTGTCGTGTTCTTGAGCGTTTACTAGTTCACTCATATCTACTCTTTGTGAGAGTTTTATTCCTGAGTGTTTAAGTATTTTCATACACTTTAAGGGAGTTGTTCCCTTGTTGTAAACTCGAAGGAAATTACTTGTTCCTTCGTGAGAAGTCTTAGAGTGCGGTATCTCCGAGCAAAGGTGTTGAGGCGCGTGTGACTCGGGTTCTCAAGTTATATCGGTTTGTTAAGCACCCTTAAGCTTAACGGAGTTAGTGTAGCTCGAGAGAGTCTCTCGGGAGGCTGGATTAGCCACACGTTGTGGTGAACCAGGATAAAATCCGGTGTGCTCCTTCCTTACGCTCTTTACTTTAACGCTCTCGTTTTAATTTCCTGCGATTTTGTTTTAAACGCTATTCACCCCCCCCTCTAGCGTTGGGCCTTTATTCTAACAGGTTCGGGGGCAGCGCCCTCGAGTAGTGTTCAAGGGGCGGCAGCCCCTGCGGGGTTCAAGGGGCAAAGCCCTTGGCTGGGGTCGAAAATTTGAAATTTTTTTATTTTGGGCAAAGTGCCATGTTAAAAATTTCAATTGAATTTTTATTTTCAAATTTTCTTTAAAGGAAAATTCCCTAAGGATAGCGCCGATTTTCTAAGGGTTTTTTGCAAAGGATCGGGCGTCTTGGGTAGTCTCCTCTTCTCACTGCAACTCCATATATTCCCGCAAGTCCATGGTCGAAAATCGTTCGAAAATTTCACAGCAATCCATATTCGTTTATGATACTTTTGAGTTTTATCCAATTGAATTTTGGATTGAACAACCAAAATATTGAATCTGAAAGTGTTATACACGACTCTCGATTGATTCACGTTTTCGTTAATTCCCCCAATAAAGATTGAATATTTCCGTTGAAGATGACTAACGGTGAATCAATGAAGGACAGAACCAATAACTTTGCAAAACTGGAAGGCTTCGAAGGACAGGATTTTTGAAGATGGGAGAAGAAGATGCAGATCCTGTTGATGACCCTAAAAGTCGTGTATGTGCTGAGTACTCCCAAACCAGAAGAGCGCGAGGACAAAACCATTGAACATGCCAGAAGGCGATGTAAGTGGGAAAACGACAACATTCTGTGCATAGGCCACATTATAAATAATTTGTCTGATTCCCTCTTCGATATATATCAGAATGTTGAGTCCGCCAAAGAGTTGTGGGATTCTCTTGAATCCAAATACATGATAGAAGATGCATCATGTAAGAAATTTCTTATTAGTGACTTTAATAATTATAAGATGGTTGATTTAAGGTCTGTTATGGAACAATATCATGAACTTGTGCGTATGTTGGGACAACTTAATTTACATGGTATGAAACAAGATGAATGTATTTTTGTTTCAAATGTAATTGATATGTTGCCACCATCTTGGAAAGACTATAAATGTGAGTTGAAACACAACAAAGACGATATGTCTTTGGTTCAATTGGGCCCTCATCTTCGGATTGAAGAATCAGTGAGGGCTCGAGAAAGCAACAAATCCAAGGATGTTGCTGGACCATCTTGTGTCAATATGGTGGAGGATGGTGGTTCCAAGGCGAAGCACAAGTCTGGAAAAAGGAAGCAAAACAAGCCCGACAAGAACACCACCAAAAAGAAACAAAAGGTGGCGTGTTGGAAGTGTTAGTTACAATTATGAATTTTAGCTTTTACTCAATTTCATAAAATTTCATTAAGTGTCAAAATTCTTCCATAATACTCCTTCCGTCCGGATTATAATATTCAAATTTGATTTTATTGGTCAATACTTTTTTGATAACCCAGATATCCGTACTAATCACTAAAAAGTTAGATTTGAGATCGTTAAAAATCAAATGAGAGGATTAAATCTACTTATACAATGAGAAGTCCAAGAATTGTTATATTTTCAAGATAGGTAGCGACAAAACCGTTTGTTTTTATTTGGCATAATACCCCTTACCTAGATACTCCACGATCTCCTTCAGATGTGAGACCTCCTCCATCAACCGGGTGTTTTCCTCCTTCAGCTCGAGGTTCTTAGCACCTACTGCCTCGGTCGCCTTCAAGAGCTTGGCCATTTCATCTTTTTGCCGCAGAATCACGGCGTTCACCTCCCAGGCCCTCTGTTCCCCTTCCCTCACTTTCATTTCCAACCGGGCCGCCTTGGAGGGTGAGTCTTCGGAGAACCGTTCCATTGCGTCCGGACCCACCTCACAAAGCTATAGGAAAAACACAAAGATAATTGTTAGTACGGTTATGTAAATATATTGAACTTATGGAAGACATACTGGGTGAGACTTACTTCTTTCAGCCTGAGCCCAAGCAGGACCCAGAGCTCCTCTATGGATTGTACTTCTGGTACACTTTCCCCCCTTTTCCTCTTGAAGGAAGGGTGGGACGTAGCCACCTTCTTCATCCGGCTCTTCTTCCCCTTGTTCGGGGGAGGATTCAAATCCGATGCCCCGGTCGTTGGGGCTTCCTCTTCATCCAAAATCTCAACGGTCTCTTGTTGGACCGGTTGAGTCTTGGGAAGAGCCAGATGCTGACCGGATGAGGTAGAGGCGCAAGTCTTCTTGGGCATCTGTAGGATTCGAACTCCATATCTACAAATCCAAGAAATATTGTGAAGTATAATTAGAGAAAGCAGTACAAAGAATAAAGGAGAGATAGAGCAGAATGCAAGAAGTACCTGGGTGACGATGGCCCTCGGCCTCTGCAGTGTTGCCTTGGGAGGGTACCCCGTTCCCCTCTTCTTCATGGGCCTACGAGGTACCCTCGCCACCCTGGTTGATCCTGCAAACCCATCTCTTGAAATGATATAGCATCCCGATAAAAGGATCCCCACCGAGCAGCTTCTCCAAAGTTTCTTCCAAGTCTGGAGTCATGGCCGGTTCAGGGAATTCTTGGTTGAGGAGGTGGTCGTTCCACCTCAAATTGGCCAGTGGAGAGACGGAGGGAGGAATATTTATGAAAAAAATATCCTTCCACCTCTTATTACTTTGGGGAAGGTCGGAGATGAACTTACGACCCGGGCGACCTTTGAAATAAACAAATCCATCACAACCGGGTTGCCCGGGTAGGACTTCGAACAAGAAGAGAAAAAGACGAAGGGAAGGATCAATGCGAAGATGGGAATAGATATTTACAAAAGAATTTAATAGACGATGGGCATTGAGGGTAATCTACCCGGGAAGAATCCTAAAGGCGTGGTAGAGTTCAACCAGGAGGGGGCGGAGAGGAAAGACTATGCCACTCTCCAAAGAAACAATATGAAAACCTATTCTACCCTCCCGGTGGGGCTCAACAATGTTGGGCCAATTTTCATTATATTCAAGAACATAGCCCTCCAGAAGGTTTCTACGGGCTTTGTTTAGGGCAATTTTTGAAACGTTGGGGGGATGTCTAGTACATCAAAGGTGGGGAGAAGAGAGTAACCGACATTCTTTAGCCTCTCCTCCTACTCCACCCAGGATTAGTACAAAATAATTCAAAAGACTAAGTAAAAATATTGTTCCTAATTATGCAAGATCAAACTTTTCGTGGGAACATGCTCAAGTTAGTTGCCCAAAACCCGAGCTGGGTAGTTGGATCTTGTGGACAACGTTTTCTTTGTCTTATTTTTAAACTGTTAATATAAGTGACACGGATGCATTAATACAATATGAGTCAATGAATAAAGCCATCTAACTAACACCTTGTATTTTTTTTCTGTTTTTTTTGTCATGGGATTGTTAAAATCTCAATACTCACGTCAAAAAATATGGAAGGAAATGGAATAAAATTCATTATGTCATACTCCGTGTCCACACTTATTTTATGGACCTTGGTCCTTGGTGCATAAATATTATTGATGCTTAGGCTTTTGAAAAAAATAAAAAAAAATGATATGTCGGCCAATGAAAAGTGAGAAAGTCCACATGTCACATGTGCACCTAATGACAATGGAAGCACAACTCTCGTTCCATACTTTTTTCTCATTTGATTTTTTAACCGTCTTTAATGTAATATTTTTGATCATTAATATCACTATATATATACTATGTCTAAAATTAAATTATAAAATTATCATATTTAAAAACTGCACTTCAAAATGAATCTTTAATATTTCAAATTTATATCATAATTAATGTTTTTTCCCGAAATTCTTCGGATCAAAAGTTTTAAAATATTAACCACAAAAGTGGGAATAATGGTTGAAAAATATTAGGGATACACTTTCCAAAAAGTGTACCCCAAATGTACACCACTTCATCTTCATCACACTATCTCAAGTGTAGGAAAAAAATTAAAAATAAATAAAAATTCAATGGTTATGATCGATGAGGTACAAATACGGTGCACCCGTAACATCACTAGTAAAGGTATGAGTGGGAGGGAGTATATGAAACATCTAAATCAAATGTTTATTGTTTCCTAATGTTTTTGTATATTTTTTATTTTTTGGTGGTTCCACTTTTTTTTTTGTGTTCGTTCTTTTATAGCAACGTAAAAAATATGCAATGACCATTTTGCCCCCAACTTAACACAACTCGTTCATTTTTTCTTTCATCTTCTCGATTAATCAAATTATTTATGCAGTCTTTATTATAAAATAATATATTTTTAATTATACTTTATATTACAAGATTTTATGTTAAATATCATACTTGTCACATAATATGATCAAATCTATTTTTTCCTTTCAGGATTGATATTGTAACTCTTATTTTGGGAATAAAAATAGAACTCGTAAATTGGTACATTTATATGTTTTACTCCTAGCTTAGTCTTTTTCTCTATAATACTTTAACTTTCAAATTTTATTAAAATTTGAAAAATGTTTTTCCCATACCAATTTAGAAGAGTGTCAATCGTAAAAATAGTGACATGGATAAAATAAAAAATTACATAATTTATTAACTATAGTTATGAATATAATAAATGTAATAATAAAAATAATTATAACGAAGATAATACTAATAATAATAATACTAATTATTATTATTATTACTATTATTATTATTATTATTACTAATTATTATTATTATTATTATTATTACTATCCCATTAAAAATATATCATTTTTAAAGTAACTTTTTGAGGAGCCCAAAGAGTTTGAAAAAATGAGAATAATTGGAAAAAACTTGAAGAAACTGGAAAGAACTAGAAGGAACGCGAAGAAATTAAAAGGAACTAGAAAAAACTGAAAGTTAAGAGTTTAAGCTTTAAAGAAGAAGCTCTAAATATGATATCAGAGTTTCCCAATTTTAGATGGATAATTATTGTTCTTTAATCGATGCCTTTCTTCATCAATATAAGTCATCGGGCCTGAAGCGTTGACAATTCAATCGCTAACGACGCCGGAATATTTTCTGTCAGTGATTTCAGTCGCCATTTCGGTGATTTTTTGTAGTTAACGCTTTCTCTCGCTCTTATGTGGGTTTTTTGTTGGTTTGGATCTGTTTTTGCTGTTCTCCATTGTTGCTTCGTGGAGTGCATATTTAGTGGTTGTTCTTTTGTCACTACTATGTCAAAGCCTGTAGGATCTACATCCAAAATAAATAGTGCCTTCTTATGAATTAACAGTAACTATAGTAGTAAATTGATTGTTGTCAACACACTCTATTAAGAGTTTTCATCCATACGATATCCTTAGTGGTAAATGAAAGAGTTGAAGGCTCAGTTACAAGATTTGCTAGATAGAGGATTTATCTGTCGTGGGTCACACCAGTCCTTTTTGTGCATAAGAAGAACAGATCCATGAGGCTCTACAGCGACTATCCCTAACTCAACAAGGTAACCATCAAGAATTGCCATCGTGTACCGCACATCAACGGCCTATTTGATGAACTTCGGGGAGCAAAGGTATTCTCCAAGATTGACTTGAGATCGGGATATCATAAGATTCCAGTCAAGAAGGAGGACATACCAAAGACAGCTTTCCGAAAATGTTATGAGCACTATGAGTTCACTACGATGCGCTTTGGGCTGTGACCGATTCCCCAAAAATATTTATGAACTTGATGAACAGTGTCTTCACACCCCACTTGAACCAGTTTGTGGTAGTCTTCATTGACGACATCTTCATCACTTGAAGTGTATCGAGGAACATGCACAACACCTGGAGAAGGTACTGAAAATCTTAAGGGAACAAAAGCTCTGTGCAAAGTTGTCCGAGTGCAAGTTTTGGCTCGAAGAGGTGACTTTCTCTGGTCACGTGATCTCCGATGAAGGAGTGAAGGTTGACGCGAGCAAGATATTTGCCTTAGTTGATTGGAAGGTCCCATGAAATGCAAGGGATGCGTGGAAATTTCATGGACTGGTCAGGTACTACTGTTAGTTCGTGAAGGATTTTTCCACAATAGCCTCGCCATAAAATAAGATTTTACGCAAAGATCTAAAATTCGTGTGTACAAATGCGAACGAAAAGAGCTTTGACTGCTTGAATAAAAATTGACTAAGGCGCCTATGCTGATACAACCTGAACCTGGCGGTGAGTACACCATATGCAGCGATGCGTCTCTTTATGGCTGGGTTGTGTACTCATGCAAGAGTGTAAAGTGGTTGCTTATGCCACAAGGCATCTAAAACCTCATGAGGGTAATTATTTGACACGTGACCTCGAGCTAGCAGTTGTCATGTTTTCCTTGAAAATCTGGAGACGTTATGTATTTGGAGAGAAGATCATTATATACACCAACCACAAGAGCCTAAAATACTTATTCAAACAAAAGGATTTGAATTTTAGATAGAGGCTTTGGTCAGAGCTACTAAAGGACTATGACTTCACAATTGAGTGTCATCAATGTAAGGCAAATGTGGTTGCTGATGTCTTGAGTTGTAAGATGATTGCAAAATTTCACATGCGGCCGACCGTGGATTGGAAATCCTTACTATACAGTATGATTATGAGTTTTGATACAATACTCGTGAGCTTGTCTCTTAGGGGGAGATAAGAGTTCACCGTGGAAGATGATGGAATCTTCTTTTACGAGAATCGTTTGGTAATACCAGGTGGGTCATGAAGGAATGCTTACTTTGCGAGGCTTATGAGTCAGCATACAACATGCTTCCGGGAAGTAACAAGATGTATCATGCTCTAATAGGGAACAATTGGTGGCATGTAATAAAACGAGAGATATCTCAATTTATTGCACATTGTTTGACTTATCAGTAAGTCAAACCTGAAAATCAAGTACCATTTGGGCTGTAACATCCGCCTTCTATCCCCGAGTGGAAGTCGGAGAGAATTACTATGGTTTTTTTCTTGGTATGCCCATGTGCTACTGTAAGAACGATGACTTTGGTAATTTTGGATCGTCCTAGAAATGTGCGCATTTACTACCTGTTAGATGAGACATGCCATTTCAGAAGATAACTAAGCTTTCCCTGCGTGAGATCGCCTGACTACATAGGGTGTCGATATTTATTATCTTTGAAAGATATTCTCGTTTCACTTCAAAGTTTTGGAAAGGACTTCAGCAAGCGTTTGGTACAAAGCTAAATTTGAGTACAACTTTCGATCCATAGACAAACGCCTGCATGAGCATATGACACAGATGCTTGAGGATATGATGAGATCTTGTGTGATTCACTTCGGGGAGAATTGGGAGTGATACATGTCTTTGATGGAGTTCGCGTACAACAATAGTTACCCAGTAAGTATTTAGATGGCCCTGTATGAGGCGTTGTATGGGAACAATTGTAGGACTCTAGTATCTTGGATAAAATTGTGCGAGTTGAGACTGAAGGGTCCAGAGCTAGTTGGATGGACAGAGGAAAGCGTTAGATTGATCTGTGATCATTTGCAAAAA